CTGAGAATCAATAAAAATATTCTCAACAAGAAGGGATCAGATATTTATCTGCAGGGATTCCAGCAATCCTCTCAAGCAGGCAGTCAATGGTCAACAGACACACACTGAGCCGTGACCTTGAGCCTAGTCAAACACGACCTTAGCGTCAATAGTCCGGCAACACGCAATAGAAAATTAGGTAACAAGAGGTAAATCTTTAACCAAAATCACATGACAAAAGCTCAGACGAGAAAGACTGAAGAACATGAAGTGTGGTCAAAAGAGATCTGAACAATGGTTAAAATACACGACAAGGAGAAGAAGCAAATAAAAGACAGTACAGTACATACAAATGCTGAGGAGGCTTTTTCAGCGTTCACTTTCCGTTGGACTAATATTAAATAAGTCTTGATTTCGATTGTAGCGCAGTCACAAAGCCCCCCAACATTCAATATAAGGTAATGGGAAATATGACGCCTATACAAAATAAGGACGTGAATGAATACTTGAGCTCTATTGTTTGATATTTACTTAGTTGTTTAGGGCCAACTCTAAACCAATCGACCTAAGCTGTTACGGTACTACGTACATCGCAAATGTTAGTTTTATAGATGAATTTTAGGTCGTCAGCGTAAAGGTAGGTCTTACCTGTGTCCGCATACATTTGCATACATTGTTGATGTAGGTTGTGAAAAGCAAAAAAACCAAGACACTACCTGCACAACATCACTGGTTATTGGTCGAGGTGTGGATGCATAGTCAATTTTGGTTATTTGGTATCTGTTCGAGAGAAAACACTAAATTCATTGCAATAACAATTGTGACTACAACTGACTGAGGTCTGTTAATTTGGAGGTTATGTGGTACCTTATCAAGGGCTTTCTTAGTGTCGAAATATAACCACTAGATTCTTTTGGTCACGTATGCGAGTAACCTCGTTAAAGAAGTCACTCAGATATGTACTGCAGGACCTTGTTCTAATTAAGCTGTGTTGTGATGGGTCTATTAGATCTTCCTTAAGTAGGTGATTAGATAGTTGATTTCGCATCACTTTTTTCCATTATGCGGGATATGACTGGAGTGATATTTATAGGTCTGTAGTTTTCGACCAGGTTTCTCTGTCCTGATTTGTGTTTGGGAAGAACATATGTTACCTTTCAGGTTTCGGGATATGTACCAAAGTCTAAAGATAACGTGAATATTTTGAGTGATAGCCTTAGTTCGTCCGGTCCTGGTACTTTGTTCGCAATCGATGGGATGTTATCGGCACCAAAACTCGCATTTGGCTTGAGGGTCTTAATAGAGGTATGCATACTCCTACAAAGTTAATGGTTCTAAGATAATTTTTGTTGATGCATTTGACGTTAATATTGTAGTAACCTACTTTTATCAAGAGAACGCGATGGCTTTAATAGAAACAATCATTACTATAACCAATTGTACCAATGATTGTTTTACTATACTTGTTTGTTTAACTGTGCTGAAGACAGCCATATTACTACTCCATTACTCTCCGTTACTTTTCTGTGGACTGTGACCTTGTACGCTTGTGCTCTGGCCCACTAATTCCGCTTGTATTCCTTTTGACACGATCTCGGTATTCGTTCGACATCACGAGATCGCCAGCGAAATAAATCTGGTTACGCTCCATCTTGGCCATCTGGTTTCTCTGGTACGCGCTTTCTTGTAGTGGTGTTCATAGTCAATCGCGACTCAACTCCACGCTGCAATATCTGGGGCAGGAGATGTATTCCTGTTGTGGGAAAGCCATCCACTTAACAGTTCACAAATGATAGTTTGGTCATAATGCGTCACACCATCCTGTAGTATGGAGTGAATATTGAGATCTGTATTCTTTTCCATGTGTTTTTGAAGATGATATAAGTTTTGGGCCTTAGATTAGGCAGTTAGTGCAGTACCTTTCTCTACCTGTTTATGTTTGTTGTGTTGACTTTGCACTCCTTCAAGTATAGAGTATATCTGGTGCTAGGCACTGACGTCTTCCGATCCACAATAAATCCATTTTGTTTTTCGCAGCTTAGGCCTAGCCTTTTGGTTGATATAGGGAGAAATTGTTTTAAAAGCAACTTTAGAGGGGATAGTGTTTAATGCATATTTAGTGGTAGTCTTGAATATTCCTAATGTTTATATATGAAAGTGAGATCATTGTCTATATTGATTCGTCCTATCTGACAGTGAGCTTTATATTATTTAAGACTTCTGAAGAGCATAATTGGCCTGAGAATAGAGGAATATAGTTAATACAAAAAAGAAGCGTTAACACCCGCATGACCGATCCATGCCATGACGATTAAGTGCTCCCGCGTTTACCGTTCCTAAACTTCACTCAGTGTTAGGCGTCAAATCTCAATCTTTTCAGCTTCGATGATCGTGTAGTTAGAAACCAATAAAGCTAAATTTCTCTCCTAAAAGAATCAACGTGACGTTGGTTATATACGAAAGCAAGCGGTAATGGTGCGCGTCGTAAGTTACCGTTGTATTAATAAGAATTCTCCGGAGAATGATAAACCGGAGTTAAATGAAAAAAGCGCCATCGACTGACCGGGAAATAAATGTAACTATCTCACCATGTTTGGTTTCAGTCCAGACAATCAAAATGAAATTTTTGCGTACACATTATTTGACAGTTAAACAAATTAGAATTATGTTAGTGCAGAAAGGTTTAGTAAAAAAATCTAACAAATTACAGTTGTTGGTGGTTAATAGCCTAAATTATCAACGATGAAAGTATTTGGTGACTAGACGAATGTTAATCGAATCCAATAGCAACTTCGTAAATGTGTTGAAATTAGCATTATCTTGTGTTCAAATTAGAAAGTCAGCCAGTCTTCATCATCACAAAGTATCTCCGAAAAACTCTGGTCGTAGCTGTTACTTGGCATTGAGGAACAGATGCATATCCAAGTCCTCAGTGAGAGATATTTTTAGGTCGAGCTAGCAGCCAATATTCAAGCCAGACCCCTCCCAGATTCATGACTATGGGAAAAACCTACAAGCCGGGAGATCTATTACCACACAAACCTAAGTAGCAAAGATATCACTACCTTAGAGATAACTGATATGTTTAATGCAAACCAAACCAGGAGTCTGCAGTTGCTGAACACCTTTCAACCCTTATACCAGTTGATAGTTAGGATGACATATTATAATGCTCACTGGTCATAGAGGCAGATTACAAACTTTCATACCCTCGAATATGAGTTTGAACAAGACTCAAATGCTCAATATAATAGTCGGAGCGCTCCACGGAGGGGTACTACCGTTCTTGATCTTTATAAACGATCTGATAGATATCATCAGCTTAGCAGCACCAATCTATGCAGACAATGCAAGGATGTAGAGATCTGTAGCGTGGTGTCGAGTCGAGGTTAACTATGAACACCGCTACTAAGAAACACGTGCCAGATAAATCAGAAGGCGAAGGTTGGACGTAACCAAATAGATCCATAAAATCTCCGAGAAGCCAAATATCAGAAGGCAAGTAATGGACCAAGTCGAGTTATATTTGCTGGCGATCTCGTGGTATCGAAAGGATACCGAGATCGTGCCAGGATACAAGCTTGGTTACAGAACGTAACCGAATTCGCGCGAAGTTACAATCGAAGTGTATGAATAATAATGAAAGAACAAAATAGCTGTCATTAGCACAGTCAAACAAAAGCACGTTAAAACAAGCACTGGTACAGTTGGTTATAATAATAATTGTTTTTATTAAACCAGTCGTGTTCTCGTGATAAACGTGAGTCACTATAGATCCATGTGAAGAGAAACTGATTCGCTCAAGCTTAAGAAGGACCTTAAAACAAGAAGGTAACGAACAGTAGATAATGGGTTGAAACGTGACTAGCTGGAATGTCATGTCATAAACACTGCGTCAATTGACGCAAAACATTTATATCCTCCATGGAAATCTTCTCCCGATTGTCTCCTCAGGGCATGATCTCAGGCTTGCAACCACGGAAAGCCCAGACATCAACTCAAACTACATGGGTTGCAGCTAGGTCAAACGCAAATCTCCACTTCATGTGAAGACTATGTGGTGCAATCACCACGGAGTCTTTCCTAACACCGTTTGAGACGTACTCATGACCCCAACTTTCAGTTCACAATTTCATTGTGTCCTTCTCTCAAAAGAGACATAAGTCTCTTTGACCAAGTACGTAGACGGGTAACTCGGTGTGATAGGTCTAAAACGGAAACCTTATGTGGACAGGCTCTACATTTGGGATGCTATACCGAATGAAGTGACTTGACAGATACGCTCTTACTCATGGCTTGCCAGTTTTCCTTGTGGACTAGTTGTGTCTGACTTATGTCTCATAAATTACCGTGACTATCATTACCGCATGCTGGTAACCACCTCCTGTCTCACTTATTTTCATCTCAGTTCCCTCTCTTGTCCTTTCGACTTCGTTTTCGTACACACTACCAATTACGTAGATTACTTACTTATGCTTGAAGCAATCGTCTCCTCACAGCACTGGAATTATCACGTGGTAATCTTCACATTGTGACCAACCAACCTCCTATTTGGTGATGTGATAACTGCTGGTATCCGGGATGCCTACTGTACTGAGACAACCACACCTACTCAAATTTCAAGATATGCAAATCCACAAATATCTGTCTAAGTGACTAGAATTGGTGCAGTCGAGTGGCTAAACCACCATACATTGGACATCACCATATACCGGGAACCGTAGTGAAACAGCAAGAGGTGAGTGCGAAGAAATCCATCGATTTAAACAGGTTGATCTCAAACATATTGATATTGTAGATATATGCACATACCACAAATGAAGCCTTTAAACGCAACCTAGCATATGAAGTTAAATTTTTCTCCGTCTTTCTCCTAAATTTGAACATATAGGTTTGTGCTTAAACGAACGGTTAATTCACCCAAGCTTGTTATGAGACATTTTGTCTCGATTTATAACCTCTTGCCCTTGAATTGAACGACCACATTAAGTTTGACCTTGGTTGCTTATTCTGTGTGGCAGATGCGTGTGCGTCCTTCTCGGTTAGTTCGACCATCTTTAATCTCCCTACTATTCCTACTTTGTATCGCTATTATATATAATAAATATTTGGATAAAGCGCTATCTGGACCTCATTCTATAAGCCAACTTATCCGGAATCAAGATTTTGCAAGTGTACACAATGTAAAGCCATTTAAAATAGACTGGGAAAACTACTCGCTTACTGCACTTGAAAGTTCGAGAGTGGGACCTGGAGAGAACGGCATGGCTTTCGAACTATCCCCTCTCGATAGAGAACTATCCAATAAAACTATAAATGAGAACGGTTTTAGTGTGTATGTTAGTGGGAAAATCAAAACAGATAGATCTATTAAAGATCTCCGCCATCCACGTTGTAAAGGAAAACTATATTCCAGCAACCTTCCTACTGCTTCAGTGGTTATCCCTTTTTTTGAAGAGCATTGGGAGACTCTCCTACGCACAGTCGCATCTGTTTTGAATCGAGCTCCTTCAGGACTAATCAAGGAAATAATTTTGGTTGATGATGGAAGCTCACGAAAATATCTGAAAGATGAACTTGATAATCATCTTGCAACTGCGTATCCAAGTGGTATAGTACGTGTAATTCACCTGGAACAGAGGGGAGGTCTTATTCGAGCGAAAACAGCAGGCGCCAGAGAAGCTACTGGAGAAGTGCTCATTTTTCTGGATTCTCATTGTGAAGCAGGAATAAACTGACTTCCGCCGCTACTTGATCCAATTGCTGCGAACTACAAAACTGTTGTTTGTCCATTTATTGATGTAATAGATACAGATACTTTTGAATATCGTGTACAAGATGAAGGGGCTCGGGGAGCATTTGACTGGGAGTTGTACCATAAGCGCCTTCCACGATTACCAGAAGATAGATATCATCCTGAGGAGCCTTTTGACAGTCTAGTGATGGCAGGAGGTCTGTTTGCTATCAGTGCGAAATGGTTCTGGGAACTTGGAGGCTATGATCCTGGACTTGTTATTTGGGGTGGAGAGCAATACGAGTTATCGTTCAAGATTTGGATGTGTGGAGGGCGTATGATTGATGCCCCGTGTTCTAGAATAGGCCATATATATCGTAAATACTCAACTAACTTTCCGAAAGCAGAAGTTGGGGACTTTGTTGGTCGTAATTACAAGTGAGTGAAACCGTTGTATTATTTTACTGACTATCTAGGACATCGTCTACGGTATTTTCCGTTGAATTTTTAAGTTTATTTCTAACATTCGATAACATTATAGTTTAAGACAAAGTACACTGATTTGTACAAAATCGACATATATTTTACTTCGCTCTTTGAATTTTTTGTGTAATTTTGACCGCACAATTATGATTCGCGTACTCAATTGAAATCTAAGAAAATTTCTTTACTGGAGTTCAGATTCATGCATTTTCTATAAGAAGTGGTGACGCTACCTAACTCTTCGGTGATATATGTTGGCTAAATCCATACTTTCAGCTTAATAGTCGCAAAACCAACTTTCCTCTAGTTTTCAACTACATGACGGCTTTAGTGTTTCTCATGTCTTATCAGAACAAATTTTTGTGTCCTTATTTTTAGTTAACTACAACACAAACCGATCAGTTGACTATATACCAAGGATAGGATTTAATCACCTCAGACTGGTGCAATTTGTAAACAAGAAATGTGCAGGTAAAATACTAATTAAACTTAGACAATAAGTTGTTCAGTTTTGAAAGTGATGACACAATTAAAAATGAATTTCACCCACATTGTCTAGCGTTGCCAGCGGTCGATCGCTGCTATCATTGTGGATTCAGGTTAGGATCCAGATAAGTATAAATGGATTTAAATTAATATCGTATCCCACCACTATACGGTCAGAAGTGTAATGTTGAATATGACTAGGAAATGCTGTTTTACATGACTACTCAAAGTTTTCTGTTGCCATTAAGTAAAACATTTAGTTAAGTCATTAGCAAGTTTTGTACCACACGTCACATTAATAGAAAATATCGCAACCTAAAGTGGTGGATAAATATGGATAAGGCAGTAACTACCACGATTGAAAAGTCGGGAAACACATTTTCACCTACAGAATATATCTGGACGCATAAAAATCATCATTTCGACCCAGGACACTTCAATAAGAGCTTCATTATGCAAATTAGTTTGGGTAGTCAATTTGATAGGCTGATCTTTTTATTTCGTGTAACATGCTAACCTGAGTAACTTAAGTGTGGTCAATATCTACATAACTTCATGAAAGTAGAATTATGGACTTTTTGGTGAAGTAAGTAATTGAAATAACTGTGTTGTATTTCCACTAACATCTGGGACCTTGTATACATTAGACTTGTTGCATAGTATCAGTCGACATTGAGTTAAAATACTCAAATAAATGACCCCTGATTTACTCAGAGAACAAATGTTTTTTGGAAATTCCCAAAGTAGCCAGTTCGATAATATGCTGTTCTCCTTCACTACATATCTGGTTAGCTTAAATAAATCTAGAGGATGATGAATCATCCTCATACTTTCACCTCAGATCATTCGTGTGTATGAAAATATGACCGAACTACTTGTACAGTGTGGCTGACTGACTGACTTACCACCTTTGACCTAACCACTCCTATGAATCCGGTGTTCGTCTTACTGTGCTAATGAGGTATGGCAACCTGGATCGATGCACATATGTGCCTGGTCCTACGTTGTAGCTGACTGACTGACTGAATGACTTGTACAGTGTGACTAGATGCTAGTAGTAATTAAAAGATATGGTGAGTGAAACATCAGTTCTTATAATTTGGTAAATATCGACTGCACTGTCTACTCGTTCTGATATTTTATTCCGTATCAACCCAAAAGTGACAAAGGTGAAAGCTGGTCTGCGCGATTGATAAGAATGTTAGCTTTCAGTAAACCCTATAATTGTTTTCAGTCCTTCAGACTGAGTACTTTGGAAAAAAATGTTAGAAATATGACTACGAAGCTGATTAGTTTTCTGTTGTTTCAGTTGTGGAAACTATAGGACAGCAAACAAGTTCCCTCAAATCTCTTCAAAGTAATATAGTTTTGTCTGCTTTTATAGGTAGTAACGAGGGGATTTTAAGGTTTGAAATAGTCTGGATTTACAATCCACTCAACCAGGTTGACCACATATAGGTTTACAACAACTTGTGCTATTTAACATACCTAAACAAATTGAGTCATTAGGAAACTTGAATAATCATTTTCTCGTCTCTATATGAATCTAGGTGGTAAAAAGTGAACTCAGTATCACCAGACAGCATAGAATATTAATGCCATAGGTGGGAATTCTATGCGTTAAAATCTATGATTTACCCTTGCTGCTTTGTAAATAGTCATCCATATCCAAGCCCAATCTTTTGTTTAGGTGGTCAGAATTCAGTCTTCGATGTAAGATAGATAAAGTTGCGAAACTCTATTTACAGCAATCATCTGTCAGTGTCCGATGTTCGGTTCAACAGATTTACCATTCGAAATACCTGGGAAGAGAAAACCAAGTTTAATTCACCTTATAAAAGCACCATCTCAGTCCAAAGAATTTGTGGGACTGAGTATAATATTCGGAGATGACGAAAAGCTTTAATTTAAGGTTTGAAAACTTATTTAGTATCGTAATGAGAAATGATATGCGAAAACTATTCTTTACATAGTACTGTGTTTAGGGAATAAAATAATACAAAGCCAAGTACTTTTTTGTGTCAGAGAAATGAAAAGAATTGTTTTCATTTCTTCTTCCTCACTTCAATTGTTTACTGTGTCATTTATTAACTTGGTGATCAGCTGTAATAACTTAAGTCGAAGTACTGGGATTAACATAAATTTAATCAATCAACATCAAATAATCTGTAAAAATTCAAAAGATCCAGTATTTATAGCTTATAGCGACTGAAACCTTACACTACTAACTTCTTGTTTTAATTACTAAGGTTCCTTAATCTCATGCTCGTGTTACCCCTGATTGATGTCATGTGCTCTCTTTTTCAAGTGTAATTGCATTTCATGCAATTACTGAGTTGTCGGCTCATTTTTTCTCTTGTTCTTTTTTCTTTCAGATGATCTCACTTACTGCTCCTAACACCTTCAAGACAAGATACCTTCAGACTAGACACAAACCTACCAAAGGCTAAATGTTATAATATCATTGCGAGGCTACCTAATTTTTCGAAGTTTCAAGAGACATAGATTCAACATAGTCCCTTGTTTATCAGATTGAGGTTCCAATTTTTGCTTTTTTCTTGTCTCTGAATAATCAGAGACCTAAGTATTACTGTCTCTTTGACGTGCAAAGCTAAATGTAATTATCATACCCTGAGGCCAGATAGATTTATTGAAAAACCAGTTTAAAGGATTAGGTTTTAAATGGACAAAGTAAAATATATGAGACTGGTTAAATATGACTATCACGTTATAAGGTTCTATCATGCTGTAAAAAGATCTATTTTTAGTAGAGATACTTTCAACAGAGTTACTCAGTCTGTGTATACTGCCAACATGTCATTTAAAAATATTTTTTAGAGTTGAAAGTTAAGTCAACGTTATCACCTAACTCTGAAATCAAGACAGTTATCACCAAAGAGCTGATTCATCATCCTTTTCGTGCATTGCCCCATATATTTACATCATCTGAAGTAAGGATCTTGAAAAATACTTTGTGGTAGGTCGTTCATGTTTATTAGTAGTGGCTGTAATCTCTTCAATATTTTTTTAGCAAATCTGGTCACTGGCACTATTAAACAAAACAACTCTCCATGTATTAAATGCAATACATCCCTTTATAATGAAGTGCCATTCAAATTACAGTCGGTATTTCTTGTACTCAAACGTATTTTAAACATTCAGCTAATGAATATAATGGATGAGTATAAGACTGAAAGGAATCTAGAGGCTGGTGATTCTGTATTGAGGTTATTTCCAATTATATATTGAGTTAAATGAAATGATTTTGAATGACACCCAGAGTTTTCATATTTGAAAGTTCTAATTGTGAGATGTAAATGATTGGAGATCAGAGGATTGGTTTAGCCCATTCTCAATAAACACAGTTTACCCAAACTACTTGCAAACGTGTTCAAATAAGTTTTCGTCACTATTTATGGATTGTAGTTTTTATTTGTTAAATTGCCTCATAGTTCCACGTCTCGTTGTCTAATATCATTTTTAGTAGTGTTTAACAAAAAATGGATCCAGTCCTAACACCAGAAATGATACATATCGGACCTCGCCATTATAGGAAAAATGCATCAAAGCAATGTTTTGTTCAGTCCTTTCCTACGTCCATTAGTCAAATCGAAGAGGTTCCAGATGTTGAAGAAGTAGATATAGATGAAAATGATCCAGAAACTATGGAAATAAACAGGAAAATTATGGCAGTTGATAATGGGTATACTGCTTCATTTAAGGTTCCACCGTTATTTCACAAGTTCATTGTTGGTGTTCAACACTCAAAAAAAAAACTGTTAGAAGACGAATTTCGTTGTTACATTGATATCCCGAATTCTGGTTCTAGTTCTTCAATGGTCTCTGTTACTGCGACGTCAAGATTTAACGTTTTAAATGCATGTCGTCGTATTCTCTGGATAGTGACTGATGCACGTAATCGGTGTCAACCAACTCATTTCATTTGTTTACCAGTTACTTGTCCAACTGTTAAAGATAATTTTCAGACATTCAAACAGTCTGTTTTACAAGCTGCTAGTGAATGTCCTCATGATTTTATGGGCGTGGATAGTTCTATCTTTCATTCAATGTCTACGTTACACTTCACTTTGGTAACTCTTGTGTTGGCTGATGAATCCGAAGTTGAAAAAGCATGTGAAATATTAACGACTTTCTACAAATCTCAAAGAGGTATTCAGTTGTTTGCATCTGGTCCTCTCCAACTAACTATTAAAGACCTTGAATATATGAATGACGACCCTACTTCTGTACATGTACTTTATGCAAAGGTCAGTGTATTTTGTCTTCTGTACTGGTGAATGTGTTAACCGGTTACGGCTTCACACTTAATACAAGATATGAATGTCTTAATTTTCTATTCTGTTTCGATTCTTATTATTATATGACATGTATTCATCAAGATATGGAGAGTATGAATGAAACGTGAATAAATTTTAAGTAAACTGTTGAATAATCTAAAACGCTTGCCCACTGATTAAGGTATTCATTTTTTATTATTGGGTTCCTAGGTTTAAACTCCTCTACCTACTTGGAATTGATCAGTCAAATAGTATCACCTGATCTCATACAAAATGTAACCAAAAGCCGTATATATAATTTGTTCCTTATTATTCTACTGAATATTCTGATGTTAAATTTCAAAGATTGGATTTTTATGTCTCGCCCTGATGATGGTTATTAGTAAGCACTGAACTAAGATTAAGGGCCTAAAGTTATCCAGTGAGGAAGATTTATCATTATGTCAGTCTTTTAGCTTGACAACCAAAGTGTGGAGCTTGTCCGGCAGGCTTTTGTTACCACTAAGGTATGATATAAGTAGACATGTGAAATATTATCCTTGAATAACATCTTCAAACCCTAATTTTTCTGGTTACAGCTTATAATTTTACTACATCTAGCACTACGGGATTTAAATCGACAACTGCATCTCTGTGCTAATGTGGTGTGGCAACTCGAACTGATGTACGTAAGTATGAAGTTCTACGTTGTTACTGACTGATTGAATTGCAATACACTTTTCCAAAAATTCTGTAGGATAGTTCCTAAAAATGAAATCGGAGTAGTTGTGTGGGAAGAAGCATGAGAATATCAATCTGTTAACTTCTTAAAAGTCTCAGTTTAATAGTCCTCTATATTTGATTTTTCTCCAATTACAAAGTGGCATACCGTATAAAAAACGATATATAAGAGGAATCTTTTGTCATTTTTACGGATTATAGGGAAATGAGATACTCCAGCTAATAAATGTTTTACCGCATTATCCAACTTTAGTTATTTAATCAATCAGTCGAATAAAACGTGAAATTCGGGAACATTATACATTGACCTAGTTTCCACACTTCATTGCGAGATGAAATTAATAAAACGCACTTCATAGTTGACCGATTCACGTATACATTGCATATGACTGGTTGATTGATTAGTTGATCGTAATTAGCTGAATATGCTGACTTTGCTTAGACCGACAAATAATTTGTTTTGATCTCAACTGATTATTTCTGTTTTTGTTTTCAATCACTTTACGTTAGCTGATGGAATCATCAGATTCACAAAGACTACAAACAATTGCTAATGAACTATTGAATCTACTTACTGAACAAAATCTAACCAGCACTGGGTCATATCGTCCGGATAATAATGTAAAATTACATATGACTTTACTTAATTCTAAGTATCGTCAGGAAAAAAGCAATCGTGACGCTTCATTTCAAGGTTTCTCACCTAATACTCGTACATCGTTCAGCATAACCGGGATTTTAAAAATTGCAGGAAATTTTTACTTTACTGAAAATCAGTCTTTTCATCAAATTTGTTTGTGTGATCGTTTGTCATTTGATTCTTCAACCCAGTTTTATAAATGCTGTTGTAAGCTAGAGTTCACTACTGATGGTATCCATTGTTCTCACAAGAATAAAATGTGAATAGCTTTAATTTGAAATATTTCAGTTTAAGTCTTTCATCTACATTTTATGATTTGTGTATTCTGAAAATCCGACTTCCCAGATTACTTCTTGAGTTATTTGATGACAGTTTGATAACAACACTATCTCATACTGTGTACAGTGTTATTTTATATCACTGTTCTCTTCAGTTGCACAATCTTTCTATGTAACCGCGATGTTTCAGAAAAGTAATTACTCGAATACATAATCAGTTTTCTATTTCTTCAGTTTGTCATTTATCATAAAAACTGCACTACCATTTCTAATAATAACAGGTTTTTTTCTGATTGTAGATAGGTAATATTAGCTTATTGTGTCTACAATCAAGATTTTCCTTCAAACATATTGTTTATTTTATAAAATTAAGTCTACATGACTGAATGATTGGATCAACTCCAGTTATTCTACTCGTAGTTGAGTAACTCAAAATAAAATACTATTATTAGTTCATTTTAATAAAAAGTTGTCGATAGAATACAAGGAATTATTTTAGTTTTCGAAGTTATTCTTCAATGTTAATTAATCTTAGTATCTTGCTTTAAATTAGAATTTGATTCTGTTTGATTAACAGCGCACGTGGGTCAAACAAGTTGATTGTGTACATTTTTAACTTTCATATAATTTAAGTCATGAAACTTAATAGTAGTTAATATAGGGTGGTTGTAAAAATTGTTGAATTTCATAACATCCAATGATCTAAGATAATTACTGAAAACTAGTTAGCATTAGACAGCTGTTCCATTCTACAATGGGATTCCTAAGCTGTGTATGTACACGAGCTCCAGTCCTAGACCTTCAGGTCTCGCGACAAGCGCCTAACCTTGGTGAAGTTGTGCATACTCACTGTTGAGTAATTTTGTGTTAGAACGATACAGTTATTCATAACTTCCGGGCTTTCAATGGTTATTTGAATAAGTTCGGTTCACGATGTAATTTCAGCTAACAGATGTACTAGCACTGATAGACTATTCACCTCTTGATTTTCATGTCTCGGCATCCCATCAACCTTTCTAATAAATCGAATTCAGTGATGATGTATATTATTTGTCTTAACTAAATTGCTTTTGTTATTATCTAGTTAATTTCAGCCACAAACGGTTAGCAGAAATTCGTTTAATATTAATTTTATTACTGATACGCTTTAAGACTTTAAAATACCTTACAATTTACTTGTTCAAAATTGGTTGTGCTGTTAATTTTAATAAACGATTAGTCCTGGGAAGACAATCGAAATCATTGCACAATTATCGACTTTTATGAATTTGTCTTATGCAGTTTTAGTTATACCTTTGAAAATCTATGATTTTATTTTATTTTAGTAATATCTAGTCATTAAATCCCTTTTTACAACAAAAGACATGATAATAGTACACCATTTCTTGACTTTTCCTCCCAAAAGTCCTAAAAGTCTATACATTTAGGAATGATATGGAATAGGCGTTAAGTCGATCTCGACATTTTTAGACACAACCCAGATGAAATCTCTCCAAATGTTGTGATAACGTAATGAAACTTGTGTTGATTGTGATTTGTTATTCTGTAGTTACTCGTGAAATGTAATTATCCATTTTAACTTGTTTACCGGCGGAAACATACATTCGGCCGAACAACCTGGACTTATGAGTTCTTGATATATCTGTGACCTTAATAAAATACCAAGTCAAAATAACGTACTACCAACTCTGTATTTATTCTTATTGAATCCAAAAGCGGAAAATAACTTACACGGGATTTTTCTAAGAACACCTATATCATTTAAAGTCTAGCTTTTTATTGTGAATATATAGAATTAAACTGAAATCGATGCGTATTAATAAATTCGCGAAAATTCAGCGGATATGTAAAAACACCAGTCGCTTTATTTAGGTCATCGAATCATGATACCAAATGAATCGTCCAGAAATTAGAAATCTAATCATATTCAGAATATTACCTTGAGAACATCATTACATGTATTTATGAATACAAAGAATTATCTAAATATTAAGAAAAGTATTGGTCAATCTAATATTTTATAATTATCTTTTATGAATATAAACCATTTTAGTAAATTTGCGTTCCTTAGGTCATGATTTTAATGGAAATTAGGTAAGCATACGAATGAATTGAAACAGTAGTCTTTATCATTTCATTAATTGGTAGAAGGTAAATAATTCCTGTTAACTGTAATTCTTATTGTAAGGAAAGTTTTATTCTAACGTAAATTAAATAAACATCTAAGAATTACTCGTTACTCATCATTTCAATGAAAGTAAGTATTGTCAGAACTTGACTTACTCGCTCTGACCATATTATGGATACCATAAATATCTTTGGTACGTGTAACCTAAAACAGTGGATCGTTTTCAATATAGTCTATTCATATGGATCCAAGCTTAATCGCCTGTGTTTAGTTTCGATCCTGGTACGATTGATTCCCATGGTTGACAATTTCACACTATTAAAGATATTTTATTAGTTGTTAAACTTCTCTTATATTCTCTTCGTTGCCCCCAACTGCCAAGGGTGAGGAGAATCCTCCCTCTCGAAATGCTCTCATGTGTAGAGCCACCATCAGAGATGTCTTAACTACCTTCTCGTAGTGTTGCTATGATATCTGGTACTATGTCAACCCACATAGGTTATTCTAGTCTCTGGACAAACCAGTCTATTCATTCTTCTTAAGCCACATTTTTACCCTGTCACTTATTTGCTTATTAATCCTAACTTGTTTTTATATGACCGTGTGTGCGTGTATTGCTTACCCCATTCATCACATGTCTGTAACTTTTGTCTGAATATGAATATCGATTAACGTTTGATTAAATGGAGTTGGCTCATATGACTTCTCCGATCCGCTCCACCTCGTTACCTTGCTTGTCTGTCCAGATCCACGATCGATCAAATCCTTATTAACAGTCGGTTATGTACTGTTAGATTTTAAAGTTCTACCAAAGTGCGAAGAAATCGGTATGAGAGACGATGTATTTTCGTCATCCCTACGCTCCGACAGATTGCAGCCCGGATGAGTTCTACAACCACTTAAATGTTCTTCTACAGAAAATGCGTCCGAAAGATATTGCAGTGCTAACCAGAGACTTGAATGTTCAGGTCAGTTGTCTAGGTACAAAAGAGAGTCGTTTAGGTGGTCGATGTGAACTTGCTGGTCTCAGGTCAGAAAACGGTGAGCACAAACGAAGACTGTAAGGTGATGAAATTGTGAAAAGATTGCGTAAAGACCGAAGAGCCTGATGGTCAGAGCGCGCTAACGAGTTAGAAACAACAACTATCCCCGAATACTGCCCGTAGCTCTTCCAACTCATCCGAGTCACTAGCAGCAAGACGCTTGATGTAAGTGAAGCTGATGGGATGCCAATCAACAACATTTACCGACGTCTTAGACGATTGGCAGAATTCTTCGAGGAACAGTCTAACTGGCCTGCTGTCTCGGCGACATCGATCAGACTTTTCTGCCTTCCACTGCCAATGACGACTGATTCACTTGACAACGCGGAAGTTTGCAAGAAACTCTGACTCCTGAAGTGCCACAAATCACTAGGCTCAGCCGACTTGTCTCCAGTCCTTTTTAAAGATGGTGGTGACTTTCTGGTTATGGAACTAACTGAGATATTTACAAAAGTCTGGCAATTGGAGTGTCCAACGTCGTGGGATGAGTTGACAGTTATCCATATCTTTAAAGACAGTTAATGTCGTTTCTAAGACAACTATCAAGAGATAAGTCTGCTTCTGATTGAGTGCAAATTATTGGCTTCTATCTTACTTCGTAGATTGTTTAAAATCCAAGAACGATTGATTCGTGAGGAGCAGGTCGGGTTTCATTCTGACCGAGGATGTATCGATCATATCTTCCACCTCGCCAAATGTTAGAACACCGACATAATTATTACAGGCAAACAATCGTAGTGCTTCCTGACTTTAGGGCTGCCTTCGATTCGTTGGACAGGACTGTTTTCTGGGATTGTCTATTGAAGAAACGTGTGCATGAGAAATGTATTAACATCTAAGCCCTATATACACCGACCTCTTTCCATTGCGGCATGGATCTCCCGCCTGGAGAAAGACTTCTCGACCTTGTGTATGGGGAGGGTATTGTCTCACTGTGCGATGATACTCAAGTCATGCAATCCACACTTAGTCAGTTGGCAATTAGTGTCTGTATGGTATGTGTTTTTCCCCTTCGAAATGCAAAATACTTTTGCATGACTGGCATGACTGAGATCTTACATTCACTCTGCAAAATGTTCGCTTGGTTACTTTGTGGTTAGTAAGCGTCCGTCGAATTCTGCTTTCAGTTTGTAAGTAACTCAGTTATCTTCCGTAGATTTGTATTTAATGTCATCAAAAACTAAGACGATATATTTTAATATTAACATATTAATTAACAAACTAGTCTAACTCAGTAAATGTAATAAATATGATCTTATTTATTAAACTTTTCCAAGTAAACACCAGGTTCTATAAACAGGGAATAAAGAATCAAACTTTTAAACAATACTTAAAAACTCATTTACAACCAACTATGTGTGCATTCAAATATACACTCTCGGTACTCAAATGATCATTTTTCTGCCTCTTTATCTACTAGTATCCCTTAATTCTGAGAGGTCATGCCTTTCTCAAGTAGGTCTGAAAACGCAAGAGTAGACTGGTCCATTAAAATAATTAACTTAGTCACATTTTTGATATTATTTTGGAGACCCCAAGCAACACAATTGTGTTGCGAAGAAAGGGGAAATAAAGCGGACGAAAGCGTAAATAAAGGGAAATGTCGCCTTTACGTCGTGTATTTGGGGGAAATTTGTCGACAATTCTACGTAACGTATAGTGTTTGAATGAACCGCATCCAGAACTGAAGTTTTCATAAACTTCGACAAATTAAGGCACCGCTTAATAAAAAAATATCGTCATAAAAACAATGTACAAAATACGGAACCAGGCATTCGGTTGATACGCATATAGAGTGACTTCGTTTGTTGTTT